CTCCAAATGCCCCCCGCAGCCAGCATATCCCTCCGAATTCATGGTCATCAGCCTGATCAAAGCTAGCATGATCTCTTGTCTAAATGGGACGTAGGGCTGCCGGGCAGTCTCCCTGTAAACAGATATGAAATCACTCTGTAACCAGCAGGCAGGGCAGCCGGGGCCTCCGAAATGTACACCTGAACCTGTGGACACATTATCCTTGGGGTTCCCCACTGACCTTGTGATAAAACCCAGGCTCCCTGCACTGCAGGACAGGATGGACACTATGTGGCCTGTTCTCACATGGCCCTTTTTGGCCACCATACTTGTATCCTGCACTTGTACTGCAGCCCTGAGGCCTCTCTGGCCTCCTCCGACAGGCCAGACTCCTCTGACCCTGGGGACCCCACTCTTGCCTTGACTGTTCCTCCAGTGATCTTAGGGTGCTGGCTCAATCTCCTCATTCACCATCCCCTTCTCGTGGAACCCTCTTCCCTTCCAACGTCTACCCTGGTCCTCTCTCCCTGACCATCCTGTGCTTATCACCATTGGACCCTGTCCTTTGCTACCTAGTCATGATCTTTCCACCCATGATGCCCCTGGGCCTGGACAGTGTCCAGCACACAGCACATCCCAAATACATCCCTAATGGACCACGGAAGCACGACTGGCCCGGGCACAGTTTAGGACACATGGGGTGATTAGGGCTGAAGGATGATGGTGGCAGAGGATGGACAGCAGAAAAAGCAATATGCAGTTGAGACTGAGGGGAGCCCTGCTCCTCAGTGCACCCTTCCTAAAGGTCGCCTCTTAGGTAGGACTACGAGTCAGATATGGGGCAGCACCTGGTCTACACCACATCCCAGGGCTGGGGCCCAGCAAAGCAAACCCTCAGGACGCTTCTGAGGAGCTCTGGGGGGCAGCTATGACCTCAGCAAGGCCTGAAGGCTGGCACAGACCCCATGGTCTCTGGATGCTCTAGGCCTAGATTCCCAGGAGGTGCTGTGCTGGGCATCCTGCAGAACATCAGGACAGCGGCTTATCTGGAATTAGGGTCTTTGTAAGGCATGAATTGGAGGAAATCAGTTAAGACAGGTTCACATCGGAACGGGTGGGTACCTGTCCACCGACTGGTTGCCTTACCAGAAAACACTGCCGCCACACTGGCAGTGGAGGCAGAGACTGGAGTCATGTTGTAAAAGCCAAGGCCAGGCTGGGTTGTGAGCAGCCACCAGCGGATGGGGGAGGGCGAGGACGATTCCTCCCTACGGCCTGGGCAGGAAGCCTAACCCTGCTGACACTCAGCCTCAGTCTTGCAGCCTCCAGAACTCCGTGAACACCTGCACGGCAGGAAGCGAATGCCATGGCCCGGGGAGAGCAGGCTGGCGTTACCCACTGGAGGCTGAGAGGCTCTGGCCTTCAGCCTTTTTAATGAGCTACATGTCCACTGTGGCCCTAGGTGACACCTTGAGAAACCTCGACAGCAGCCTGGCCCTTCCCAAGTCCCTCTACCACCGGGAGGAGGTGGCAAAGGACCATCTGTCATGGCTGCAAGGAGCGTGCATGGAGACCAGCTCCAAGGTGACCAGCTTTGCCGTACAGATACCTATGGTGCAGCCCCAGCTATAAACAGCAGGATGTCACCCCACACCCTGTGCCTGGCTCAGGGCAACAGCTGGCTCTCTGAGGATCCCAACAGCTACACTGCTGTCCATGACTAGATGCCCTCACAGAGCCAAGGAAAGCGTGTCTGCCTAGCACACAGCTCGGAAGCAAGAGGAGGGCTTAGCTCCTGGGGACATTCCTCCTGCCACTCAGCCACTTCCTCTGCTGCCAACAGAGTCCCTCAAGTTATGGCTATGTGTACAAGCACCCAGAGACTTGTAATGAATAGCTGGCATCTGTCCAGCCCCATGCTAGGTGGCTCTCAGCAAAGGCTCTGGACAGGACCCCTCATTAGGGCCAGGTCCTCATACCCTGAGCCCCCAGAGGCAGGAACAGGGGAGCTAGGGAGCCAGGGGCCTTGGGCTTTGATTATGAGTGTCATTCAAAGCCACAGCCCAAGTCAAGACAAGTCACCCATGAGGTCCTACCTTTAAAAATCTGTATTCCATGCCATGAAACAAGCTCTACTTGTCTTAGTAAAATAATAGCTGAAATTATTTAGTAACTGAATTAGTCATCTTCTGTCCCTGCCCCTAGGGTGATTCTCAGTTTGCGTTTCTGATCCTTTCCATGTTTCACAGGAGGTCCTGCTGAGGGTGGCTGCAAGGTGGGCTGGATGGGATGGTGGCAGGGGACAGCCCAGGAGGAGCTGGCATGGACCCTCTCATCAGAAACCCTGGGCGTGCCACCCTGGAAGAAGCCTCCATAGCCTCCTGAAGGCCGGTGTCGGAGCTGGGACGGCCTCTCCTTGTCCCTAGGCTGATCCACATCCGGGTCAGGGGGGGTCTCTCGTCCCTGATGGGCACAGCTGGGTCAGCTACACAGCCGCCATCCATCAGCAAGGGGACTGGGAGGCCACAGCCTGCTTTTCCGGTCACCACCTCCCTGCACAGGCGCAGGCTCTGGTTCCCCAGACATCTCACCTAGAGCCAAGGGCCTCAGAGTTCAAGAACCATCTCCGTTCAGAGGCTGGACCAGCTGGTGTGGATAATGAGGCTCCAGCCCCCAGTTCCTGCCTCCCCCTACCGTCTGAGATGAAAAGGTCTGTACCCAGGAGGTGCTGCATGCATCCAATCCTCTCTCACCCAGGCAGGAGGCTCAGCGGCTGGAGAAGCAACTGAAATCCTCTAAGCAGCTTAGTGGGGCTCCCAGGAGACCAGCCAGCAGGGGGTGAGGCTGGGGGAGGGGGGGCTGGGCTTCTCAACCTGACCTGGGAGATCAGGTGGCTAAGGGAAGAGACAAAGCAGTTCCACCCACCTCCACTTCCAGCACAGAGGTCACTTAAAGGTGTCCTTGTGCCCTTGACAGGATGAGTGCCTGCCCCACGGCCTCAGCTGCACAGCTGCAGTTCAAATGGCCTGGTTTGTTCTCTTTGCAAACACTGGCACAGGCAGGACAATCTTAACAGTCAGCACACCTCCCCAGCAAAGCACTGCGGTGCCAGGTCAGGCCACCGCAGGCAGAAGTGACATGCCCAGAGGCCTTCTTCAGGGGCTCCCCAGGGTAACCGCCACAGCCTGTCTCCCTCCAGGCTGGAAGAGGTTCCCCCTGCGAGCCCAAATGAACGGCTAGCCTGGGACCCGGTATGAGCCAGCAGCCTAGGGTCAGGCCCTGGGAAGTTGGACCTTTGGGAGACCAAGGGTGCCCATGTCAGTTTCTGCAGAGCCTCGGCCAAAGACAGCTGTCCTTTCCCGCCCCTCTTCCTTCCCGGGACACTCCTTCCCTCTACTGGGCCTGGAGACCCTTGAGAGGGTCACTTCCCTTGGGAAGCGGCTCTGAGCACTAAACTGGATTAATAAACCCTCTGCGGACGTTCATTGTCACCACACATGCATTCATGTCACAAATACCGCTGCTGCCAAGCGTGAGCCACCCAGGGGCAGGGGTCTCTGGCCGACCTGATGTCGGCCCCAGAGTTCACAGTGGGGACCGAGAAAGGGTGTGAAAAGCCTCCCGAGTGGACAGCAGCACTGCAGCCCCAGACCCAGAAGGTTGAGCTCCCCAGGACTGCTGTGCCTCCTTCTCCCGATTCCCTTCCCTCTGCCTCCCCTAGCTCCCGGGTGGTGGGAGTGGGGGTGTCTCTGCCTGGAAGGCTGCATCGCAGTTTAAGAGTTTCGGGAGACTTGAGCCCCCAAGCCACGACCCCTCGGAGAAGACCATAGCCCCTGACTGGGCGGGGCTGCACAGACAAAAGCTGCGCCCGGGGACAAAGGCTTCGCTGCAGCCGCCCACGTGCACGCGCGCTCCGGCTCTCTTGCGCTCGGCCCAGCACCCCCCGCCCCGCCCCGCTCGGCCCGGCCCGGCCTCCAGTGTGGCGCACAAGCCCATTGTTTAAACCAGCGAAGGCAAGAATTCTCGTCCGCAAACACTGCCCCCTCCCCCAACCGGGATGGGGGAGGGGCCACCCCATCCCACCCCATCCCACCCCGCCCCCGCCTTCAAAGGAGGAGACGCAGGAGGGAACGCAGGGCTCCTGCGAGGCACAGCTCCCTCCCGAGCACCCCACACCCGCCGTCCTGCCGCAGAGGGGCCCCTGGGGGCCCGCGCCGCCCGCGTTTCCACGCAGGGCCCTGCATTGCGGCTGCGCGCCGGCGGGCGTGAGCGCGCGCGTGTGCGTGTGTCTGTGGTGTGCATGCGCGCCGGCCGCCGCGCCCCAGTTCGCCGGCACTGCGGTCCCCTCGCCCCCACCCCTTCCCGCTGCCGCTGTCCTGGGCTGGGCTCCCCGGGCGGGCGGCTTGGATGGGAACAGCCCGGGGGCGGTGGAGGCGGAGGGACCCGGCCTGGGAGCCGCAGAGACAGCTCGGCGGCTGGCAGGAGGCGGGGAGCACCCGCCCGGCCACTGCACCATCTGCCTGGACACAGGGTGCACTGCCAGGCCCAGGGCTGCGCAGGGGCCTGGGGACCCTGCCCTCCTGCGCGAGTCCCAGCTGTGCTCTCCGTGCTGGGACGGATACGGGGTGTGGCACTGGCCCGCTCCCCTCCTGGTGCCACACTGGTAAAAGGCCTTAAACAGGCCTTGGGTGGGTGAGCCCCTTGAATACACTGAGAGGAAAAGAAATACTGGGAACCCCACTTTCTTGAGTTCCTCTGCCCCTGCCTCTCTTCTCTCCTACTATTTGAAATGCTGCCTGGCCAAAACCCAAGGGGAAGGGGCCAGAGAGTCCTGATCTGCTCTCTGCAGGGCACCTGGGCCACCGCAGATGGCCTAGGCCAGTGCGGGGAGCAGTAGGTTGGAACTGGTATCCTAACAGCACCCACCTAGTGGTAATGCACAGCCCACTGCTGCTCAGCTAACCAGGCCTTGACACCTGCCATCTAGGCCATGTGTCCTGCCTGGGGCCAAGAGATGCTAACTTCCGCCTGGAGGATTACCGAGGTCAGGGCCCAGAGTCCTGGGGGAGGGGACAGCTGGCAAGCAGGTGTCCAGCTTGGCAGCAGGCCCATTCACAAGGGGCCTGGTGTGGTCTAAGACCCAGGAATATGGCCATAAAGTAGTTAAGGCTCTTCTTTCACAGCTCTTTGGGTGACCAATGGATGTAGCTGGCTCTCTGAGCTACCTCAGGCCAGGGAATATTTTCCTAAACTTCAGGGCCCTGCCTGGCTGAGACTGCCCTATGAAAAACTCCCCTTTCCAGGGCCCAAGGAGCCTTCTGTCCACCCCAGTGAACCTGACCCGGTCACTCGGGGAGAGCCAGGCCTGTGCGGAGCTCCCTGAGGAGGTCTCCATTGCCCATTTGTTCTGCAAGACTGGAACCGGATTTCCTGAGCGGGAGCCCCCGGTCACCCTGCCCTTCTCTGTTACACACTGCAGGTCACCGTCGTGGCTCTCCCTGGCTCCAGCCTTGGCCAGGGATGCTGCCAAGGCCAGCACAGCGCTCCCAGGCAGCCGCTGCCAGGGTGCAGATGCCTGCTGACCCAAAACCACCTCTGGAAATAGCTCCTGACGTTCATCCGTAAGGGGGGCTGCCGGGCGCCCTGTTACCACAGGGGCAGAGCCTGGGAAGGTCAGGGTTTGCACACAGAGGGCCCCTGGAGAGCTGTCCAGGGCACATCCCTGCAGCCAGTCACAAGGGGAAGGCAGAGGTGAGGAGGCAAGAGGGGTACTGTGGGTGGGCAGGGCCACCTTCAGGGCAGAGGGCACAGAGGCAGCGGAGTCCAGACCCAAACACCTTGAGGTCTCCAGCACGGTATGTCTCTGGGGGTCACTCTACAGCTCACTCTGATCCTGCAATCCCATGGCCTTCCCTGTTCAGGGCGCAGGCGGCTGGGCTTGCCAGCTTGGGAGCCTCCTGAAACCTGTCCGGGTGGCAAGGAACTCTTCCCTCACTCCCAGGAGGAAACACCCCTGGAGGGCGCAGCAGGTGCTCAGACCTTGCAGCCTGGGGTCCATCCAGAGTGGACTGCTCAGCTGTGCAGCTACCGGGCAGGAGTGTCAGTCACAGCCAGGCTCCCATGCCGAGTCCTGCCTGAGATCCAGGGTGGGCCCAGCCAATGACCACACAGAGGCTGCTCAAGGACACACCCATCCGCAGGTCCCCCCGCTGAGGGACACTGACCCCCTTTTCATGGACCTGCCCCTGCTCTGGCACTGTGTGCATCAGGTGTCCTTGCAGGGGACCCGGTCCCGTTCTTACCGTCCAATGACAGCCAGTCGTGCTGGGAGGAGGGGAGTGTGGGCACAGCCCGGGCTTTGTACTCAAACACCACCGAGTTGGAGATGATCTGGTTGTTGAAGGCAACTTGTAGGGTCACCAGACCCGTGTCATGGGCTGAAAGGGAAGGACAGAGAAGTCAGAGTGTCCTCTAGCCCAGCCCGGGCCAGCTCAGTCCTCAAGGCCTGAGTGTGACACCTCTCTTAGAAGCCTCCTCTGACCCCTGGGACTCCTGCACTGTAGCTGCTCGCAGGGACTGGGGCTCAGCACACAAGGCTGCTCAAGGAAGGGAACGAGTGAATGCCCGGGGCTGGCCGACTTCTCCCCCACTCCTCCATCCAAGGCAGGGTGTGGGGTCCATTTGCTGTGGGTCTGCTTCACCCTTTCCTGCACACCTGTGCAGACTCCCTAAATGTGACACCCACAGGATTTTAGAAGTTCCTCTGCCTCCCTGCTGCAAGCAAGAGCTTCAGCAGTGCCTCCTGCTCTGCCCCAGCCAGGGTGAGATGCGGTGACCTGCTGGGTGCTGAGCTGGCAACACATGACCAGACACTTCAGGAGGGCAGTGCTCTGCGGGTCTTGCTGAGTCCTCCGGCCCCGACACAGGCTCAGCAGCACTGAATGCACTGGGTAGACGGAGGAGATGTTCCCACTGGCAGCGAGCCCCACTTCAGTGCAGGGGTGCAGGCTGCTGCTGCATGTGCTGTTACCATCTTGGGCGCAGCCAGTGGCCCTGAAGATGGCCTGTCGGGCATGGTGGGTATATGGGTCGCATCCCCTGGTAGGTGTCAGGGCTCTTTTGTCTCAGCACTGGTTTTCTGGGCTGACAGCCTCCCCGGGATGGTTTTCCAAGAGGGACATATGGGGTTCGTGTTACTGTTTGGGCTCTCGGTTTTCAGAGCATGAGGGTACCCAGTCAGCTGCTCCTGGGGCGGGAGAGAGCTCTGCTCCCCCTCAGGACACCTGCAGAGTCCACTTCCGATGGGAAAGCTACCTTACTGACCCCTGGCCTCCATCCAGCCCAGGTGTATGTGGTAAGACAGTAGTCATCTTCCCATCGTCCCAGGGCCTAGAAGATGTGACTGACCCGTGAGTTTTCTACTGTGCTTCCTGTCCTGGCTGCATCTGTCAGCTCCAGCCAACCTGAACCCACAGGCTTCATGGCAGGGGTCATGCAGGACCTCCTGCAGTGGAGCCCTGGCCTAGTCCAGAACCTCCGGTGGCTTTGACAGCACCCTGGGCAGATCTCCAAGCTCGCGGTCACTCGTCTTCCCTGGAGATTTGCCTGGTTAACCACCAGGAAGGCAGGCTGGCAGCACACTCCCGTGTGACCCCTCTGCCTGTGCCGCAGTGCCCCAGGGGAGCTGGAGGCTCTGGTGCGGGGTATCCCTGCTCAGGGCCCCTCCCAGCTGCTGTTTCTCCCAGTGCGTCCTGCACCAGGCTCTGCAGTGGGTGGTGACAGGGACCAGCCCTGGACTCTTGGGTGCCAGGCCATGACTGCCCTCTCCTCCTGCTCATTCATCCATCAGGAGTCCTGGCTCCATCTGCTCCTCTCTGTCTCCACTGCTGCCATTCTTATCCAAGCCGCGTGTGTTTTGCCTCCTGCTGAAGGTGACACCAGCCTTGTGACACCTGTCCCTGCTGGAGTGGGGTGGAGATTGTCTTGTAATGCCCCTTCCAGAAAGCCGAAAGCCGTGGAAATAGGTGGCCAGAACGAGCCTTGTTTCTTGTTATTAAAGAGTGGACCTTGGTCCAAAAGGCCTTTTGTGACCTCCTTGGAACCCAGGGTGGGCAGCTGGCCAGCAGTCTTGGTAGGTTCCCCATCCTCTCCCGAGTCCAGTTGCCTGCCCCCGCCCCTTCACACTTGGTTCCATCCATCCTGACCCCGGGGCAGCCCCGGGGTCTAGTGGAAGACAAAGCCCACCCTTGCATGGCCCCTGCTGCTACTGGTGTAGGAATGGCCTGGGCTGACCCCAGTTCCCCAGCGGGGCCTGTTTGGCCCGGGCAGTGCACGAGGCTGTGGCCAGTACCTGTTTGCATTCCTGCTGCCCCGTCCTGCATCAGCCCGGCCTCTGAGGTAGCCTGGCTTGTGCTCCCAGCCTCTGAGCCCACTCTGGCGAGGCTCAGCTCCAGCTCAGTCACGTGGGGAGACTGAGACGAGGCCACTGAGCAGCATCTCCCAGGACAGTGGCTGGACTGCACCGGGCCTCCCCGCTGAACTAGTTGCTCTTTGGGGCCAGGGTCCCAGCTAGGGGCTGACTCTTATTCCCTGCATCATTCCAGGAACTTAACAGTGCTTGGGAAAGCAGGAGACGCTGGAAACCCATTTGGCAAATGAATGAAGAATGAATGAATACATCCAGAGCAATGTTCCATTTGGCCTTGAAACCGAGTTAGCTGCAAGACAGAGTGAAGCCCCAGAAGAGGAACTCCGGCTCTAAGTTTCCCTGGAGCCTGGTAACTTCTGCTCTAGATCTGTTCCATTAGAGGAGCTGAGCAAGGTGGAAGACGGCTTAAGCAGAGGCCGCCTGCCGACTCGAGTGCAGTGGCACCCAGAGAACTGCCTGAGCCCGGCTTGCTCCTTGCTCTGCCCTGGGACAGAAGAGTGCAGACCTCACGGATGGAGGGAGCCTTCAGAATCCAGCACCCGAGCCAGGTGCTGCAGGAGCTCTCTCCTTCAGTGGGTGCTCTCCTTAAAGATAAGGAAACCGAGAGCCAGAGAGGCGACCTCCAGCCAAAGTCACACAGATGACATCTGGTTGACTGGGACATAGGCAGAGGTGACCGGCTTCAGTCCCCAGGATTCTCCAAGTCTGACCTGGGACATCATCCAGGAGGCGAGTCCTTTATTTAATTCCTGGAGGGGTCAGGTAACCGAGGACGGGCAAGGTCTGGGTCTTCAGCCAGGCCAGGGACAGGAAGCGGCATCTATTTACAGGCCGGAGTGAGTCCCCGTCCAGCAGCAGGTGATAAGTAGGCACTTCAATAACATGCTGCCCTCCTGGGCAGTGACAGGCTGATCCGGCCTGGGCTGGCATCCGGGGTGGCTACTGTCCAGACCCAACAGGGTTGCTGGGGAGACGGGGCTGGGTGGGCATTGGGGGTCCAGGCAGGTGACCTCTGGGGGTAGGGCCAGCAAGGCAGAGGTCAGCACAGGCCCGGGTCCTGGCTCCCTCAGGTCACAAATAAGGGCACCTAGCTAAGCAGGTGGTGATGAAGCTTTGGGGTGAGCAGGAGAGTAGGTCAGAGCCACAGGGGACAGCACAGAGCGTGTCCTGGCAGGCTGTCCTGGAGGGTCACTGAGGTCTTGAAGTTGGAAACTGATGACGCCACTGTGCCCTTTTCTGGGTGGGCACTGAAACTCTCAAAGGAGCGTGCAGGCATTATTCTTAGTTTGACATTTCCAGCTGCCACAGTTCCTGCCTGGTGCCAGATCTCTGCAGGCCTTCTGGGATCTGCTCGAGGCCCAGGATGGCTGGATGGACTGCCACTGGGATGGACAGCCTGGGCAGTGGGAGAAATGTTCACCTTGCTGCAGAGGCGGCCTCCAGCTCCACGAGCAGCCCCAGAGCAGCCTCCTCCAGGGAGCTGGTCTAGATCGATGGTTCTCTGAATCATCTGCTTGGGCTTTCTCTAAGATCTCAGCGGGGCACCCCTGGTGTTCCTGTCTGACGAGGGTCACCCCAAGGCTGACTCCTGGTCTGATACTCCTGGGCACCCACATGCATTGCCAGGGAAAGGGGGACTTCTCACCTGGGCAGTAGCAGCGCAACACCCCGGGCTGAATCAGGGACGCAGGCACTGAGATCTGGTCAAACAGGCAGCTGTAGTTATTGCTGGCTTCTTGCCACGGGCCTGTGATGAGGACCTTCACTCCTCCCTGGAGGGGACAGAGGGAAACAGAGATAAAGCAGGAGCCACCAAGAAGGTCCGGGGCACAGGGGAGGTCCCTGCACCCTGTGCTCAGACGGGGCGGGATCAAGGAGGATGAAACCGTGGCCACCTGGAGTCGAAGGAGGAGCCCAGGAGTCTGAGAGTCAATTTGCAGACCACAGGAAGAGGACAGGGGGCAGCAGTCCAATCCTGACCCTCAGGAGGTCCTGCAGCCTTCCTAGGGGATGCCCAACAGCCCTGTCCCAAACAACCCGGAGTTCCAGGCAGCAGAGAATCGAGTTTTTCAACCTTTTCAGCCCCAGACACACCTGAGGATGGACTAGTTAGCCCCGCTCTCAAGGGAACAGAGGGGACCCTCTACCATTCTTTCGAGAGACGGGGCAAACTCCCAGGGCCCGTCAAAGAGCAAGTCTGAGAATCTTAGTGTCATCCCAGGAGTCAGATGTTCTCCTGGAGAATGGAGGGGACCCCCCCCCCAGGAGCCCCAGGGCCATGGCTGGCTATGGTGAGGGGAGGGCACAGTGAAGAGAAGGGGAAGACTGTAAACAGAAAAACAGGGGGAAGGCCTCCGAGTTGGAGAGGGACAGAGACTGCCCAGGAACCAAGTCTGGGGCCAGCGTGGGGACTGGGCCTCCGCGACCCGTGGTGCGCGCGCTCAGACAGATGGGCCCTCGAGGGCGCGCGCACATTGGGCACGCGCAGCGCCGATCCTACCGCCCAGTCCCGAGGGGCCTCAGACGACCGTCCCCAGCTCCGGGGAGGGACCCCGGCCGCAGGGGACCCCAGCACCCAGGGTGGGAGAGCATCGCGAAGCCTGCGCGCTCCCCGACCTCCGGCTTGGGCCAGCTGGTGCCGCCGGGCCAGGAGGGCGAGAACTCACGTCCGCACGCGCGGGCAGCCCGGTGCAGGCAGGGCCCGGGTCCCCGCCGTGGGGAACAGCACCTCCACTGTCGCCCAGCCCGGGCGCACTGAGGCGCTCGAGGTCCCTCCCTTACTTACGGCTGGTGGAGGGAGACTGTCCCCGGGGATGCAGAGGGCGGGGGCGCTGGCCTCTGGCTCTCCTGGCTAACCTTGGGTGGACCCACCCCAGAGGCTCAGCCACCCCACCCCCAAGTAAACACCTTTCCCCCGCAGGGGGGCGGAGAGCTGCGCTGGCCAGGGCGGAGAGCGCCACCTGGCGTCCAGGCTGCAGAAGGCTGAGAGGCGCCGCCGAGAGCAGCCCAGCCGAGCTCCCCTTCCCCCTACTGGGGCGAAAGGGCCTGAACCAGGTTCCCCGCGGCACCCCAAGGCAGCTGGCACGGCCTACCTACCTTTCTTCCTTCTTTCCTTCCTTCTCTCCTTCCCCTCTTCCTAACTTTCCTCCTTCCTTCCCTTCCTCCCTCTGTCTCTCTCTCCTCCTCGCTCTCTCTTTCATCATTCTTGATCAGCCCGTCCCTGGCTTTGTCTACCCTGCTCTACAGGGCCCCAGCTTGCGCACAGATACTGCTCCCCACAATGCACCCCAAACCTGGCCCTGGCCCAGGTCCAGCCCCTAGGGCAGCTGCGGGGGTTTCCACGGACTTGCTTTCTGGCTGCAGGGCTCCCCTGCTCCTGGAGCTGGCATGCTTTGGGGGAGGTCACTACTCCATGACCCAAGTTGGGAGGCAGCAGAGAGAGCTGGGACTGGGTCCGAAGCAGGAGGCCTGCCCTGCTGTCAGTAGCTGAATGTCCTAAGGCCAGTGGACCAAGGACACTGATCTCTGCCCACAGATGCCCAGCTGGGATGTCCAGAGGCAGTGGAGGGCCAGCTCCGGCGTGACCCTCCCTGAACCTGTGAAATGGAAAGGCTTCCAAAGGCCACTGACAATTACCATGTGAGAGAAAAAGGGACAAAACATAATAACCCCGATCCACAACTGCTGGCCTGGTGCTGGGGCTGCTGTGGGAACAAAGGGCTGCAGAAATTACTGGCAAACATCAAGACCTTTTCCATGGAAACCACCGCAGGATGCCTCAGCATCCATCAGTTCAGGGGACGGTTCCCATGGCAACCACTGCCTGGCTGTGCTGAATGGGTGGTGACGTGCGCGTGCCTGGCAGCTCTAATTGCAGCTTCTTGTGCCTGGTGCAGCAGGAGCCAGTGGTGGGAAGTGACGCAGGAGTCAGGTGGGGGTGGGGAGGGAGCAGCAGATGGCATCTGAGGTCTCTGTGCCTTGGGAGTCCCGAGATGACCGGGCCTAGTTCTGATGCAGCCAAGACAGATGCTGGGGCATGGGGGTGCCTCTGGGATGTGGTGTGTGTGCGTGTGTGTGCATGCGTGTGCACACGTGTGTGTACACATGTGTATGCATGGGTGACCAGCTGCCCCTGGAGTGAAGAGGTGAAGAGAGAACGGGCAGCAGCCGTGGAAGGACACGATGTTTGTAGTAGATCCAGCAGGATGGCCCAGCCATGGTGCCCTGTTACATGGATCCCTGGGGACTACTGAGGTTTTCAGCTGGGTGGGGACCCAGAGCAGCCACTTAGCCTGCCCCCAGGTTCGCAGACTAGAGTGAGGCCCAGCTGCATGCCCTGCTGCAGAGTTTTCTAGGAGCTTGCACAGCCTCGCAGGCAGGGGCTCCTGATGCCATCAGTGCACAAACAGGATTCCCTTGCACATCCCGCTGTGAGAGGACACCCATGTCAGGGGCAGGATGTGCCATTGCTTGGAGAGTAGAGTACAGGGTGACCCCTACTTTGGCCTGGCCTCAGTGTCCAGGGTTGGAGAACTTGGCAAGGAGGAAGTGGCTGTCAGAGCCACTGAGACCTTGGAGGCTTCATTGCATGGCCACCATGGGGACCCGGAGGACCATTTTCTAAATCAAACTGATTCTAAGATGCTTTTGTGTCCTGGTGAGGGAAGCCTCCAGTCTTTCCAGAAAAAACGATTGGATGCACCTGAAAGCCTGACTTTTGCTGTGCCTGGGCCGCCCCCACGTGGCAAGATGCAGAACCGCCTCTCCAAGACGATGTGCAGCTGCCCAAGACCAGAGGGTGGGCCCAAGGAGGCCGGGATACTGTCCTGGGCCCCCAGGGGCCGCAGGACATGCCCCAGGAGCCCTAGGGAGGGAAGGGAGTGCTGGCCAAGTCCACAGCCCTAAGACATGGAGTGCTTTGAGTCCCCAGCCTCCCAGCTGGGCACCTCTGAGAACACTGTGACCCAGAGTCAGGTCTTGAGTAGCTCAGCAGACATCTGTGCCTTCCCACGACAGCCAGTCCTCTCCCTCCCTCAGAGCCCCTCAGACTGCTTCCCTGAGCCTGGGGAGGGGCGAGTACCCCGAGGGTTATTGCTCTAGGTTTCGAGACAGGAAGGTTGTGAACCAGATTTGAATCCAGACCACTTGGCCCACAGTCCTGACCATAAGCATGTGGCAGGCTCTCTCCGAGTGTGTGTGTGTGTGTGTGTGTGTGTGTGTGTGTGTGTGTGTGTGTGTTGGGGATCAAACCCAGGGCCTATGCTTTGAGCTATATCCCCAGACAATCTTTTTTATCTTTATTTTGAGACATGTTGTGGATTGCTAATTTGCCCAGTCTGGATTCTCCTGCCTCAGTCTCCCAGACTGCTGGGATTGCAGGCACATGCCACCACGCCAGGCTTCCTGTCCATGTTTATATGCATGTGGGCAGCAGCCTGTGGGCAGTAGCTGGTCTCTGTTGCACCTGCCTTCCTTCCTGGATGCCCTGCCCGGAGGCTGGGCTATTATCTCTGGTGCCACAGCATCTCCGAGGGCCACTGTACACAGATCCTTGTGTCTTAACTTTGCCTGAAGGAAGGTGATGAAGGACGGTCCTTCCTTAGGGTCTCCCAGCAGCAGCTGCAGCAGCCCTTGCCCTGGTGTCTGGGGAATATGGCTGTGGACCCCAGGGAGCTGTGAGCAGCCACCTCCTGGGGAGGGCACCCAGCCTCAGGGGACAGCTGCTCTGCCAGTGCCTGACAGGCAGGCAGGCCAGGAGGAGAAGGGAACACTGGCCCTGTGCAGCAGATATATAGGGAACTGTGACGCCACGCTGTCCCCTTCCTGTCCCAGTCTGCTTTGGAGAAAAAGCAGAGGTTCCTCTTTAGGCACTGGGTCCCCTGCCTGTGAGCCCGGACTCCAGCACTCCTGCAGGGCTGGGCTCTGCAGCAGGGATTCCCAAAGTCAGATCTGCAGGGCCCACGGGGTGGGGTGGAGTGGGATGACATGGTTGGGACCTGGGTTGCACGAAGGTCTTGGATGTCACGAGTGGGTATTCAGAAGCTGCACCCTCCCTCGCCGGTGTGATGTGAGATGTTTGTTTGGTTCAGTGAAGCAACAGAGGAACAGTGGGCACAGGTGACCTGGTTAGTTAGGAGGTGATTCCTGAATGTTTTTATAGCAACCCTAGAACCCTTTTCCAAAAGAAGATGATGAAGAAGAAGACAAAGGAGAAAAAGAAGAGAAAAAAGAAAAGGCAGAAAGGAGAGAAGTAAGGGAGGAAAGAAGGAGGGACGGTAGGGAAGGAGAAGGAGAGGGAGGGGCGGCTTCCGGGCAGGGCTGCCAGGAGCCCTTTGCCTCCCGCTCCCCCGCCATCCCCACCTGGAAGCCACTTTCTCTGGTGGTTCTCAGTTTGAGAACCACTCATTTGGGCCAGAGGGAGGGGACAGGTGTGACTATCATGCAGCACTTGCTGCAGAGGCAGGTGCTTTCTGTCTGGCTGCCCAGTGGCCCGGGACCGGGATAGGTGTGGGGTGCACCATGGGGACGTGGCGGTCACAGCAGCGGGCAGCTTACCTCAGGGTAAGACCACTCGGGGGAGTAGTCGGTCACCATGAACACCCGTCCGCTCTGCTGCAGCATCCCCAGCGAGCCTTGGGCCGAGGCGGCCGAGACCACCTCGGCCACGTGCATGTAGGCCGTGGTGCCGGCCCCACCCTCGGCGCTGCTCAGCTGCAGGGTCCCCTGCTGGGGGCTGCAGCACGGAATGCACAGCTCCGCCTGGGTGAAGGGCGCTCGGGCCCCGTCTTCTGACTGTGAGAGCGCTGCGCTGTCCCCCGACACCAACTGGTGCCCGTAGATGGTGCCACTGCCCCCCTCCACGGAGATGAAGTCATTGATCAGGTCGGAGAACTGGTTGCCGAAGGAGATGTCGAAGTGGTCCAGGTTGAGCTCCATGTTGGAGCTGTTGCTGAGGCTGGGCTGGGCCACCGGGTAGAGTCCCTGCACCACATTGCTTGGGAGGATGGGGACCCCGCCGGCGCTGCGGATCACCCCGTTACTTTCAGGCTGCAGGTAGTGCTCCGAGCCACAGGCCTGCAGCTCCCCGGATTTGAGGAGGACCTCACCTCCTTCGGCTGCCTGAGAGGTCTCCATGGTGACCTCCCCTTCTGCCGTCATGGCCTGGAAATTGGCCTGGAACTGCATGAGGTGCAGGGAGGACGTGGACTCTATCCGAGTCTCCACGTGGCCGCTGCAGGAGCTGGTCTGGGACGAAGCCTCCGTTTTCACTGTGGGCATCACGAAGCTGCCCCCGGAGTCGCTCAGACTGCTGTGGGCGGTCTGCTCGAGGGGGAGGGGTTTGCTGGCATCCTGCAGGAAGAAGCTGGGGGAGGGGGTCTGGTGGATGTGGGGGCTGTGGCCTGTCTGGCTGAAGCTGGACGTATAGTCTTTGTTGGAGTCTATGGCACTAAAGTCCATCTGCTCCAGCGTGGTGCTGGGACTCAGGCCGCCGCCCGACGGCAGGAGGCTGGAGCCGGCCGACAGGGTGAGGGAGCTGGAGCCTGAAGCCGCGGCGGAGGAAGAGTATGCCTCCTTGGCCATCTGCTGCTCGAAGGAGGTATCCTCTGTCTTTATCTCCTTGGCGAGGACGCTGGTGAAGCCGAAGCTCCGCTCGCTGGCGGGCGGTGAGTGCCGGACGTTGGAGCTGACCATCTCAGCCTTCAGGCCCCCGCCCCCGTAGGTCTGGCCCTGCTTTGGATTATTGAGGAAGCAGTCGGGGTCAAAGTTCATGGTGGTCTCCGGGATCTTCCGGCCACCATCGAGGGTGGTGGAGAGGACCAGTTCTTCGGACACGTTGGTGGGCAGCATGGACAGGCTCTCTGAGCTGCCCGTGGTGGGGAAGGCGAATTTGTGGCCGTCGGAGCTCACAGCCAGGACCAGGCCCTGAGAGGCATCAGGCGAGAGGAGGTGGTGGTTGGGGCCGGAGGTGGGGGACATGGTGTACACGGCCTCGTTGGTGACCTCTGACATGAACACCGTGGCACTTTGGGACAAGCCCCCCATCACAGAGGCCACCGCCATGCTGGACACGCCTGTGACCACGGGACTGTCCACCATGTCCGGGTCGCTGTTGAGCCCGCTGCTGATGGACACGGGGGAGCTCTGGGTGGTGTCGGGCACTTCCACCTGGTTGGTGGAGGACACCTCGGTGCTGTTCTGGTGTGGCAGCGCTGGCTTGGCCACCTTGCCGTTCCGCTTCTCGCGGCCGGCGCCCTTGCCGTGGCTGGGCTCGTGCTTGCCCTCCGACACGTCATTGTGCTGCACCTCAGCGTGGCTCCCGTAGCCCCCCGACCGCGGCTCCACCTTTGGCGAGATGATGCGGTGTTTGGCACTGTTACACTTGTGGTGCATGCTGCTGCCCGCTCCTGTGGGGATCAGAGCACCGCACACGCACACGCAATGTACATACACACGTGCATTCACACACACAGACACAGACCACACACAGACACAGACCGGGTCAGAGCTGGGTCCCTGGCGAACTCCCCGCCTGGTCTCCCACCCCTTGGTCCCTTGGCTCCTAGGCCAGCTCAGCCTCAGTCTTAGGGTCTCTCATAGCCTCTGTGACCCTCCCGCAAAGGCTGGAGAGCCTGGCACCGGCACTGGGAAGGCTTGGAAGGTGGGTGGGTCTCCCCCCACCTCCCGGAAAGTCCCTTCAGCTATCAGAGACAGACGTCTGCCAACTGAGGGTTCCTGCTGGCGGGGGCAGGTGCTTAGCCCAGGGTTGGTGGATGTGTCCCTGCCCCTGTGTGTTTCCTACACAGTGCTCTAGGGCCACACAGTGCTTGAGGAAGCTCTAGTATTTCTGGTGCCCCAGTAAGGACCCCCACGCTCTTGGACCTAGAAGCCAGGAGTTGGCAGGTGCATGTGGAGAGGACGCACTCTGCAGAAGCAGCTCTCAGTCCCTGCAGGGTGTTCTAGGTTCTGCTCAGTTGCAAAATGGTACCTGATGCCTTCTGTCCCCAGTTTGGCTGAACCTGGCTGTGCTCAGCTCTCTGGAGCTCTTCTAGGTCCCAGGCAAGGGCAGACACAGCCCCAGCCCCCCTGGTTCAGAGGCAGGAGGAAGACAGCCCGGAGCGAGCCTTTCGGCTGTGGGCTCTGGGCAGTCTCGCTACAGCGCCCTCTCTGCGGCCTGTGTACCTACTCTGTGCTTGATTTCATTCCATCCAATAAGGGGTCATCTCGATTTTGATGAAAGGTGAACTCTTCCCCATCCAACCCTGTTACAGCCGCACCACTAAGACTCCTAAACGCACAAACACTGTGCAGGGGAGTGACCTGGTCCATGGATGGAAATACCCAGCCAAGGGAGTGGAGAGCCACATTTCCCAGAGCAAATACCATTATGGGAAAAGCAGATAAAGAGTGAGTCACCTTCCATGCTTGGAGGAGACAGAGGTTAAAGAAAGATGTTTAGCTCGAGTGGGTCCGTGGATTTGGGGGCAGATGTCCCTGAAAAACCACAGGGCCAGGCCACATGGGCTTCCTGCTGAGGACGCTGGGAGTGCAGGTCCTGGCAGGCACTGGACTCTGCGGTCTATGCCTCTTCCCCATTCCTAGTGGAAAAAGCCATTTCTCCAGAACCGCTGTCCCTCCCCGGAACTGGCGTGCAGCGCGATTGGTGCTGTGGTGCCACCCTTTCCCCGCTCCCCAGCCGGGTCGGACGTGTGTGCCCAGCTCCCACCTGCCCCACTTGGCTCACCCAGGCTACCCGTGCACAGGCAGTTGTGGGTCCGAGGCTGGGGCTTGGTCTGGTGGCTGTCGAGGATCTGTTGTACCAGCTGCTCCACCGAGAAGCCGGAGCTGCTGTTGCCATTGCTGCAGGTCCACTTGATGCCGTGGACTGCGGAGAGGGCAGAGACAGATGGGGTGTCAGAGGCAGGCCCCGGGACCCGGGGAGGGGGCGGCTGCAGCAGGGAAAAGAGGGGGGTTGGGAGCTGCTCCACAGGGAGCTCTGGACCCTCCTCCTGCTCCTCCCTTCCCTGTCCCCTGATGCAGTCAGGAGTAGGTGGACTGGAAGTCTGCTTTTGTTGCCCCATCGTTCAAGGGCTCACAGGGGCTCCTCAAGGGCCAGACCCCAGGGCTCTCACAGAGGTCCCCAGCACTGAACTGGAGGAGCCCCACCGTGTCCTGCACTCCACAGACTTCTCTCCCCCAGGAGGTGCAGGAGACGAAGAGACTGACCCTAGGGCCAGGACAGTGGGAGCATCAGGGCCCAGCCTGGGGAACAGCCACCCTGGGGTTTCAGCTTGACCCCGGATCCCTGCAGTCTCTGAAATTGGGTAGCGGGTCCCGGATGGGTGGCAGGACAGGGCTAGGGGTCTAAAATCAACTGGCTTACTCTGCCGAACATGTGGCCACGACAGACCCAGCCAAGAGGGACAGAACCCCAAGCCATGCACAGGTGGCCCAGCATCCAGGCTCCAGGGGTGATGCACCCCACACTCTGGGCCTGGCCTCCAGGAACAGGAAGGGGCAGGAGACGGAGGGAAGAGACAGTGGCTTCATCAGCATGAGAACAGTCCACTTTCTCCTTTGGCAGCAACACCTCACACAGGGCTCCAGAGAAGCAGTTTGGGCCCTGCCCTGGGGCTCCAGTGAGGCCACAGGGCCAGGCTTGCAGAGGGAGCTTCTTACTGAGAGACCCAGCGGTAGCTCAGCCGGGGAATTTGGGTGGCCCATCTCCACGGTGGTTTTGTCTCTGGCCTCTGGGTCCTGGCACACCTTCATTTAGAACCCTGTGTGTGGTTCATTTCCTTCTTCGTGTGCTGCCCACCTGGACAGGTTTTTGTCCTCCCCCCTGCTGTCTATCTGGGGCTCCCCAGAGGAACCAGTTCTCCAGCTGCCTGGCCGCTTGGCTCCTGCCCATCAGGCTGGGCTGGATTTACTTCCTGAGTTCCTCGTCCCTGGGAGCTGGAAGCCTGGCTGGGCATTGTGAAGCCTCATCCTGGCCACGGAGCGCTTTCCCCCAGCAACCCGCTGCCTGGAAATCCAGAACAGACCCCAGACAGCACAGAGAGGCCAGGCTCAGGGGTTGTCCCATGCTCAGGACCTCCCGGGGTGGAAGATTCTTAGAGACCCATTTTACAGAAGAGGAAAGAGAGGCTCAGAGTGGAGAGAGGAGAGCTCATAACCCATCCAGGGGCCAGAGGGCAGGATGCGGGGCTTCCTTGACCTGAGGCATATACAATGTCCTCCTCCAGCTGCCTGTCCTCAGTCCCTTCTGTGTCCAAGCCCTAGCCCTGAGAGTCTGACGTCATGGGCTGGGGTGTCCTGGGTACTTTTTAACACCCTCTGCTGCTAGGTTGAGAGCACAGTGCTGCTCTGAATCTAAAGGAGGGCCTTCAGGGCCAGGAGCAGAAGCACCTCTGTGCAGAGCCCCTGCCTTAGGGGACCCTCAGCTGTCACCCCCAGTTGTCAGGCAAAGCCCTGCTGGATTTGAACCCAGCTCTCTGGACAGATGAGCTGTTCTCGGGGCAGCCCCAGGGCCGGCTCCAGCCTCCAGGCAGCACCCGGCCCTTGCTAAGCCCTGGCCTGGCCTGGCGGGATCTTTGGGTGTTTCCCACGAGGCACCTCTGCTCTGAAGACGGCGGCTGCTAGGTCTCACTTCTCCTGCCGCCTTTGGGGGGTAGGGGGCGCAGGGACTGCGTCCTCTCTGCCTCTTGCTGTGAAGATTATAAAATGAAAACCCAGTGCAGGGTGGCAGACTGCAGGGAGACAATTTCTGGATGCTTGATGCAAAGGACCCACGGTCGTGGCCCATTCAGTGGACAGATTGTCTCCTGCCCCCTGGGTGGGGCGGGAAGAAGCGCCCCCTCCTCCCCGGTGGGCCGTGGTGAGTAGTGAGTATCAAGGGCCTTGGGGTGGCATTGACCCTTCAGGCTCACCTTCCCGACAGGTAATGAATCGGCCGGAAAGGAGGGTCCTACAGGGAGGCAAGCTCGGCATGAACCCCGGGTGCCTGGGTCGCAGCTGTTTCTCCTGTTTGTTGCATCTTGTTCCAGGCTCAGAGCCCGCCTGGCCTGGGAGGGGGCCTAAGCATTGTAGGTTAGCTGAGCAAATCCCAATCAGAGGGACCCTTGACTCAGCTACCGCTGCATGGGGCCTGGGTGGCAGTGCCTGGACAGGGGGTGGAGAGGGTCCCGGATGAGAGAGAGAGAGAGGAGCAAGCTCAGGGCGGCCTAAGCGGGCCCCAGCATGGATGGGCCCCTGCAGGATGCCGGCCTTCAGGAAGGCCACCAGGAAGCAGGATGTTGGGCCCTAAAGCGCTCCCTCTTGTGGGTCCCCCAGCAGCCCAGCTGATGTCCGGACACTCACAGCCAGCGGACTGCACTGCCTTTGACTGGGCGTCTGAGCTCCGGCGGGCAGAGCTGGGGCTGGGGGTGGCTGCCGCAGGAATCCCCAGCCCGCTTCAGTGCTGTCCAGGGTCCCTGAAGATGTTTACCCTAATTATGACCTGCGGCAAGGCAGCGGCGCCTCCACTAATATGAATAATCAAAATGAAATCAATGGTAGCAGCATGTGGCCCTGCATGGGAGAGCATCTTCCCATGAGCAATTTACCCAAGAGGCGGCCGGCCGCTGGGAGTGGAGGGATTGAGATGTGGAAGGGAGGGCCATGAGATGTGGGCTTCACCCCACTCGGGCTGCTGCCAGCCAAGGGCTCCTGGGTGTGGAAGCCGCAGAGCCAGGCCCGGCTCCTGTCCCTGCACTGGGCTGAGCTGCGTCCTCCAAATTCACAGGTCGCAGTCTGAGCCCAGCGTGAGTACACCTGGAGAGCGGGGCTTTCAGGAGGTCACTGAGGTTACACGAGGTCACACGAGAGGGACCCTTAGCCAAGAGGACTCGAGGCCTTAGGAGTCTCGGGTGCCCAGCATGGCGAGGAGGCCACGTGAGGATGCAGGAAGACACTGACCATCTGCAAGCCGGGAAGAGCAGCCTCACCAAAAGTGAACCCCAGAGTCACCTCGACCTTGGGTCAGCCTCCGGAGCCGTGAGCTCAGCCAGTGCATTTCTGTGGCTCCCGCGACACTCAGCTGGGCAGCGGCGTGGTCTGCTGCTCTAACAGGCAGGAACCCCTTCCCCACAGCCCTGGAGGCCAGGGAGCCCGAGTGAAGAAGGAGGAGGCTCCTGGCACGGGTGTTCTGTTGCATCCTGGCAGGGCGGAAGTGGGGAGAGGAAGAGCCCGTGCCAAGGATCCCTGTCACCGCGGCACTGAGCCACCAGCCAATGCCTGCCACGAACCCTCTTAGACGGTCACAGGCAGACAGTAGATGCTTATCGAGGGCTGGTGGGATGACTAAGTGAAGGGACCATTTCTCGATCATGTTGCAGTTTCTCCTAGGTGGTACCCACAGGGTGCTATAAGCAGAGTTGGTGCCCCTGTGATAGTAACCACGGAGATGGTACTTAGTGAATGCATGTCTCGTGCCAGGCAGTGCAAATTTGGACATCATTACAGAAATAAATAACTGAGAAGTCCCTGAACCGGAGCATGGGCTCTGGTGGCATCTGGGCTGTGTGCTCTCAGGCTGTGGTCCCCACACCCCGGCTGTTAGAGGGGCACATTCTCAGGCTGGCCCCAGAGGCTCTGGCCCTGGCTGCCCAAGCTGACTTGAGCACCATGACTGGTGCTGCCATCTCTAACCTGGCAGTGGTCCCAGTGGCAGAATTCTGGAGAGAGCAAGACTCAGAGACACAGTGACTCCCGTGAGGTCACACAGCAGATAAATGTGGGGGGCGCAGATTCTAGTCCTTTCCTCTGAGCCACCCCTGGGCCTGTGTCCCCCGGAAATGGTCTGCTAGGAGCTGGTGAGGGAAGGCTGGTGGCTGTTAACGGGCAGAGGGGAGAAGCGATCGGGCCAGGAACTGAGTCCCACCAAGAGCAGAGAGATGCCACTCGCTGGAGAGGAGCCCACCAGCCAGCTCAGCCTCTAGGGCGGGCTGGGGACACTCTTCTCCAGTGGGGTGCAGCTCTACTCCCCACCCCCTCTGCCTAGGAAGGTTGAGAGGAATCAGTACCGAGCACTTCTGAATGTGTCTGGGTGGCTCGTGGGGCACGACCTTGGGGACAGTACCGGCTCCTTGCCCCCTTCCTGTTGGTCGATCCCGTGTGCGCTTCCTGGCTGCCGTGAGCCGGGCCAGTTTCCTTCACCACCCCTTGATGCTGCTTTGGAGCCAGCTGACCATGGGCTGAATGCTCTGAAAACGTGAGTCCACATAAACGTTTCCTCCTCTAAGTGGCTGGTGTCGGGTACTTTGGTCTAGCAGCAGAAAGCTGACCAGCACAGGAGAGCGTGGGCAGAAGGGAAAAACACCACCGTCCCTGGTTCCTCCCTCAGCTCACCGGGCCAGGGGAGCAGCTGGGCCACCTCCGACCAGGCCAGGAAGACAGAGTGTCCAGGAGGGGCTGGGAGGAGCAGGAAGTGTGCCTGGGCTCTGGGGAGATCCCTGAGAAACACCAAGGTCCTGAAGAAAGGGTTTATCCCGGACGCTGGGGGCTTGAGGGTCGGCGTGTGGCCCCGAGACCAGACTCCTTGTCTGGGCCTCCTGTCGCTGCAGGCAGGGCGGGGATCTTCTGGGAGACAGACTGGGGTGTCACAGAGGCCACATACTTCCACTCCTCATGTCATTACACTGTGCTTTCCTGAGGGTGGCACGAACCCCCTCCCACGTCCAGAGGCATGGGGGAAGAAGGGCTGGAGTTCAGTCTTGGGGAAAGCTTTGATCTCTGGGTCTCGGTTTCCTTATCTTTAAAATGGGTGCTGTTTCTGCATTCACCTGACTATGTGTCATCAGTTTCCAAGGGACAGCGGGACACACAGATGTGTGGAGTTTAGCCTGGGTGGCCTCCACAGGACATTTGACGTGGGCCAGGGTACAGGGTCTGGACGTCTGCTCTGAAGTCAGGCTGGAAGGACTTTGGAAAAGAGTTTTGGGAGGACAGTCAGGAAGACCTCGAGACCATGGCAGCCCCAGGAACTGGCAGGAGCTAGCCAGCTGCCCCCTGCACTCGGAGGGGCAGTAACTTCTGGAAGGATGACAGGGCAGCCGGCTGGAGCTTCAGTCTCCGCAGTGATGACACAGACAGCCCCTTCTGCGATCGCATGTGGCCTTTCTTTGCATGGGAAGAGATTTCTTGGCACTGTGGGGGAGCAGGTGACAAGGACAAGTCCCCATCCTGAGGCCATCCAGTGCTTCTGCTCAGTACCTGCTACCCAAGAAAGGCCTGTAAAGAGGTGACCAGTTCACTTGTCCAAACTATGTCACCATGGAAACAGAAAAGAGGAGCTGTGATCCTTTGTCCAGGCGATGATATAAACGGGGGGCGCTCCCAGGCCATTCTGGATGTGGGGTCACTTTACTTTACCACGTGATGCAGGTGGTGGGAGAGGGAGGTGGCTGCAAGCCCCTGAAGGAGTGGACGGGAGTCCCCTTCGGATTCCTGCAAATTGTTGACACTGGAAGGCGGTCGCCATAGCGACAAGGTCAATGGGAAATGGCAGCCGTGTTGGTTTAATTTTCACTGTATTCTTGTTGACAGGAATAAAGGCCCTGCGTCTGATTTCTTGGTTCAACTGGATGAAATTTTCATTAGATTTAAATTCTCATACGCAAACACCCACACTCTATTCAGTTTCCCAATCTCACCACTCAACTCTCATCCTCCCATTGGTCCTGGGGACAAAATTTGCAGAAATCTTCATTTCGAGGTGCAGAGGTTGAGGGGGGCTGTGAGGGATGAGGGAGCGAGTGTCCACGGCGTGTATGGGGACCTGTGCGCTGTGTCCCGAGTCAGCTTGAGCCCAGCGGGTCTCATTGTTGGGACCTGGGCCATCGGGATTCCCTATTGCTAGTGGGAGGCACAGGCCACACAGTGACAGAGGCTGAGGGCTAGTGGACAGAACTTCCCTGGCTACCTTGTTTTGGGTGGCACAGATGTTGGGGGTGAGGAAGGGAGGGGAACTTGGGGGCTGCAGGATAACCTCCTTGGCCTCATGGCTGGTTCTGCCAGGCAGTGTCCAAGGTGCTCAGTGACATTAAATGTGGCCTTGGCTGAATGATTGTTTAGCACTGTCCAGCTAAACTGGACACTTGGCAGGGCGGGAGGGTGCCTCCCTCTGGGGTTCCCCCACACCACAGAGCCACACAGCCTCAGTCCAGCTTGGAGCAGACATGGCGGGGATGAATGTGGGAGTCGCCAGCTGTCTGTACAGTGGGGGCAGGAGGGGAGTGGCATTCTGGACTGTTTCCATCCTGCTTCTTGCTAGGCTGGGACCTAGACTCAGTTGCCCTCAGGGGACTGGAGGTGGTGTATGCAGCCAGGTGAGCTCCATTTAGGCTGAAGCTCTGGATCACTCCTATGTGGAACAGAGCCTTCGATTTTTAAAAGAGAGGCTTAAAATATGGAGACTGACATGTCAGCCAAGAATTAAACATTTAACTGACCCTTTCCTGGTACAGCACTGGATGACAGCCCTGGTGGCCACGTGGCACAAGCTCACTGAGTTGGAGAAGAGGAAGGAGTCCAGCCTTCTGTGACAGGAGGGCTCCACAGCCAGAGCCAAAGCAGCCCCAGTGGCAAGCAGCCCGGAGACAGGAGGTCAAGAGGTGCTTTCCCTTCTGGCTGAGCCTAGGGGCCACATCAGCTCCTCGGAATCTAGCTGGAGGGGAAGATGAACCTGTGCAAAACAAACCAAGATCCTGGAAGGAGGCAAAGGGAGCCAGTTCCAAACTGAACCTCGTGCCAGGCAGAAAGGAGCCCTGGGACAAGCACGGGCCCATGAGGTAGAAGGTTCCTGCCCTGCCCTGCCTGCTGTCTGCTCCTAACCCACGGGGACAGGAAGTGCACAAGGAATTCCTCCCAGTCCTGTGGACAGTTCCTACATCTCCTAAGTAGCAGGTCCGGGAGACAGGCAGGGAGGGGTCTCTGCCCTGAGGGACAGGGAGCTGCTGTCTCCAGCCCGAGGAGACAGCTAGGCTAGCTAGGCTTCCTTTTTTTTTTTTTTTTTTTTTGGTACCAGCGATCGAACTCATGACCTCAAGCTTGCCAGGCAGGTGCTTATGCCGCTGAGCTAAATCCCCAGCACATAGGCTTCTTCTTTGCACGGGATTGATGCTCTGGGAATTCTTCACGATGCAGATCAACAAGTGTCTGCAGACCTCACTGTGATCTGGCACCAAAATCTCAGCTGCAACCTGAGGAAACTTCTAGGGTAGCGGATGGTAACCCGGAGCCTAGGGAAAGGCATAGAGGTCCCAGGATAGCCAGGAATTGCGTCCTCAAGTCTTTGTGTTTGTTGACTATGCCTCCATTGGAGAGTTCCCATAAAAAATTGGATGACGATGCCAACGCCTGCCTCTTTCCCACCCAGGGAAACCAGCTGCCTCCCAGAGAGGCCCGCTGTCCCCGCTGTCCAAGACAGGGCTCTCGGGCTGGCCTCTCACGGCCGTGAGCTGGGTTTCTTGGAGGTGAGATCGTGGGGGCGCCAGTTTGAGGACTTAGCTAAGGTTCCCAAGGCCTACTGGCCCTGATTGGTGGAATCAGAGCACCTGGGGGCGGGGCCCAGGCCCCTACTGGGCTTGATTGGTGGAATCAGCATCCGGGGTGGGGCCCAAGCCCTGCCATCTCAGCACCTGGTTTTCAGGTGAGATGTTGCTCTGGGCACCTAGCCGGCTCTCTCTGGGGCTTGTTGGATTTGGGGTAAAACTACAGCTTGCTCCTCTGAGCCCCGGGGTGGGGACACCCCAGCTTGATTTAGGGTGCCTTGCTCCTGTCCTGAGAGCCTTGCTCCTAGGGGACAACCTGGAGAATGCCTCCAAGGGAACCCAGGAGCCTTTCTTGTAGCAGCCTCCCTCCCCAGCCCCCCACGCCTGCAGGTCCGGGGCAGCTCCTCTGCGACTCCGCCCGCCACCTCCTTTCCCCAGCCCCGGGGCGTCTGACCAGGATGGACTGATTGGAAGAAGGAAGGGAAGGGAGGTTACAGGACAGGTGCTTCTCTCTAGGGCCCTCTTCTGCATGCTCCAGCCCCTCTTGGAGTCCCCGTTTCAGAATGGGAGGACAGGACCCCCAAACCCTACCTCCGCTATCCCAGAGGTCCAGGGCACACTGGGCTAAAACGCTTGAGTCCGCTGCTGTCACTGGCCACCAGATGGCGCTAACTGACCAGGAACTGGCTCAGGAGACCCAGCAAAAGCCTTTGTTGATTTTACCTCTTGATATTCTATAATCACCAGGATTACAATCTAAGCAAAAAGCAAAACAAATAAACACGCCCCCCCATCACTGAACCTTTGGTCTTTGAAAAATTATGAGAAAACAAAGGATGCATAGAGTCTGCAACCGAAGGCTTGGTATTGACAACAGCGAGAGCCTTGGGATGGTAGGAAGGGGTGCCCGGAGCCCGGGGGTGGTCTGTGGGCTCCCTACTTTCTTCTTGGTGCTCTGCAGCTGCAGCCACTGCTCAGCAGGGTGGGGTCCCCTCTCCAGCCACCCTGATGTGTGTGTGGCTTACTGGCCTGGCTCTCCTACCTCTCCAGCTGGAGAGTGCTCTGCCTGAGAGTGTGGTGAGGGGCTGAGACTCGGCTCCTCTAGCAGGCTGCGGTTCAGGGTAACAGGGATTTGTACCTGTTATAGCTGGGAGCCATAACAGCACCCTCAAACTCACCCTCACGCGGGCCCCATCCCCACAATCGCTGTGCCTCCGTCACCAGTGGGAACATGGCTGCCTCTCCCCACTCTCCACATGGCTACTATTGTTCACATACAGAACGCTTCCCCTCCCACACTCAACACAACCGTCTAACACCCTACTCAGTGTGACCTTCTTCCCCTCACACTCAATGTGGCCTCCAATCCTTCACACTCCCAATGGCTTCCACCTCCACTCAACATGACCTTCTTCACTCCACATTCAATATGGCCTCCATTCCCTCACTTTCAACATGGCTCTCACATTTAATATGGCTCCTAACCACACACTCCACATGACCATCTCCCTCTTCAATATAACCTTCATCCTTCACACTCACACTCAACCTGGCTTCTGTCTCCTCACACTTAGCACAGCCTCTGTCTCCCCACATTCAACATGGCCTCTACCCTCATACTCTGCATAGCAGTGCCCCTTCGCCATCATAACCTTCCTCTCCTCACATGCAACATGGCGTCTGCCCCTCCTACACAAGGTGAGCGCCATCTCTTCACACACCCAGCCTGTAAGTGCTGGAGCTGACACACCTACACCTCAGGGCCACACCTTGCCTTTACATTGGCCTCCCTGCCCTTCTTCCTAATGCCATGCACCGCTCCTCACGGCCAGAACGAAGCCCTCCTTCCCTCTGACATCCAGGTGCCCCGCCCTCCGTGCTCTGAGCGCCCAGGCGTGTGGGGCCAGGACCACCCAAGCCCCACGCTCTCTGCCAGTGCTCCTTCCCAGTGCTGTCCATTGGGTGTTTTGCTATTGGGCATGGTGTTGAGGGCGGGGCCTGGGCATCTGTCCACCAGGCCTCATCTGTCCCCAGAGCCTGTCTGGCTGGAAGTAGCCTCAGGGGACTACCCAGCAGGCCTTTCGTGGCCATCCTGACCCAAAGCATCACTGTTCCCAGTGCCCAGGCAGGGGGAGCTGGACCCAGGGAGCCTGGAGTTCTGGCTGGTGTCCTCGTCAGGGGCAGCTGTGGCTGGTTACTGTGCATCACCTCTGTGGGTCCTTTCATGGCCATTGGGACTCTGGGAGGCAGGGCCTATGGTCACCCTTTACTAGGAGAACAGGGACCTCTCGGAGGTCAGGTTTGCACCTCTGGGTGTCCGCCAGCCTCTGGCCAGCAGCAGGCCCTCTGGACGCTCCTCTTCCCGTCTTCCCCTTGCATCCCCTGTGCCTAACAGGTAGAGCCACTTTTCAGGGGGCAGTGCCAGGTGTGTGTCCTGGCCTGCTGGAGGCCCTGGAGGACAGCTGTGGCTTTTGAGGGGTGTGCCAGGCAGGCCGGCCACCCGAGCCTCCTGGTGGTGCACTCCTATGGTGTCCCCACTGTGTGAGCATCCGGCCGTGCATGGCCTCACAGGACACACAGGTGTGGTGTGGCACGGTGGGCCTCAGGGGCCCCGCTCAGCCTCCTGCCTGATCCGCAGTGCTGCCGAGGACACCGAGCCCTGAGGGTGGCGACCCGGGGGGTGGGGTGATCTGTGGGTTCCAGGGAGGCAGCTGGGGGCCCAGTGCTCCTGGGGCCCCAGGGGTACAGCCGTGTGAGACCCCCCTCCCCCATCACATGCGGACCAGAAAGCCGCCCCCTGTGCCCACTCTGGCTGGTGCACTGTCTGCTGAAGGTGCGGCACCCACCCGCACCCTGCTGCCCTGCAACGGAAGGGAGACAGCCACGCTGCAGGCACTCCTTGGGCACCTTGGGCGTCGACTCCTCGGGCTCCTGGGGCCCTTGCATTGCGAGGCCCAGAGCTGCACCTGAGGTTGGTGCCTTGCAGTTCTGTAGGAGCTGGGGCCACACCTGCCAGGAGCCTGGCACACCCAGGGCCTCCCCGGGGCAGAGCTGGGCTCCCAGAGCAGCTGCGCT